AGTTACCTAAAATACTGCCATCTGCAAGAAAATAGCTTTTTAGCTGTTCTTTGTTAAAACAATTTGTATGTTGTCGATAATATGTTGAAAAACACAAATTTTACAAATGAAAAAATGTTAAAGGATGGAATACACAGAAAATTCGTGCATTTCGGAAAAAGTTTGGGAGCTAGCCACTGAAATGTTCTGCATGCCTGGCCAATATATTTAATCCTATCCAACTACGTAATTTTTTGTAAATAAATTGAGGCCCTCAAATTATATTAACTTACATTAATTTTTGAATTGGGAAATCTAGCAATTCGCAATAACAATATATACATTTCCAATAATCAAATTTACTCCCTGACTAGTTTACAAATACATACATTTTAATATAAAGATGATTGATTGATTGTTGGTGTTTGACGCAATTTTGGGTTTAGCACTTTTGGCTTCTAAAGTATTTTGCGGCGATCAGTTTTAAATGGTTTAGGCCAATGGAATGCCCAAGGAACCTCCGACCGTCGGAAGGAAAACTGGCAATCCCCATCAACAATACATTAGTTATAGGTATAGAAGTTACTGTGTAGGTGTCACAACACAAATATACCAATCAGCATTGATCACCTTTTGTAAAAGTAGGCAACCTCTAACCAAACACAGCAGTGTTAAAGTTGATGTTTTCTTCAGCTAAATGTTACAAGTAAAGTTTCTTAATAGAAACAAAAATATAAATGCATTTGAACCACTTTTATTTCAAATTTTATGCTTTTGCATTAAAATTTCAATGTAGATTTGCCACATAATACTTCATTTTAGGCATTTGAAAAGAAAGATCACGATCTACTATTTTAGTAGATCATCTATAAAGCTTTGGTTGATCATTTGGCATATTAAAGATAGTACATGTATATTAAGATTACATATGGTTAATATGAAGTTATTTTATTCTAAAATATCTACTATAGATACAATTGTGAGAAATGAAAAATATTGTGGTTGAATTTATCAAGTTTTTTTAATTGGTTTTAAGTCATCTGATCTAAAATTATGTTCGTGGATATTAATTGTGCACTGAGCCCTCTGTTATTGATCTGACAGCGACTTTTTGCGATTTTCTCACTTTATTTTCATATTTTTCGGTTCAAGTTTCTAATGGTGCGAAGATCTTACAACAATAATAAGTGATATAAGTTGACATAAAAAAAACCAGTACAAAATGTTATGTATACGTGTTAAAAACATGGGTTAAAACAATCTGACTTAAATTAGGATCAATCACGACTCATATATCGCATGAGAATAACGAAATCAGAGAACTATATTTTAATAAGATTAGGGTTAACTTAATGAGATAGCTTGAAAGCAAGTATGTTCTGGTAAATTTAAAGCGATTACAGTTTTTAGCGCTATTTGAATATGTCTATTATGAAACAAATCCCTTCACGTAAAACCTCCATATGTGCACTTTGAACTTTCATAGTTCTGCCAAGGAATATTGCTCATTACAATTTTGAGACTAACATATGGATATGTGAATGGAACGAACAAAAGAAAAAAAGTACGTAAGGACAAGATGATTCCTACATTTCCGCTATATCATATAAAGATAGAGATGGAGAGAGAATTACGAGGTATATCACAACAGTTTTCCAATCGTTTGATGTGTTTCAGCTTTTGGTTTTGATATGTGATAAGAGACTTTCTGTTTTGAAATTTCACTTGGAGTTCGGTAATTTTATGTTGTTTTACTAACTTATTTTTTGCAACAATTTCTGAGTTTTAAGTTTTGTTGTCTTTTTTCGCTCAGCTTTGAAAATTACGGTTTTCTTTTCTTTGATTGAAAGAAGGGATAAAATAATATGGAGGCAGTCTCAAACCATGGTCGAAGAAAAACAGATGACAGCATGACCATGGCGAAAAAGTAAGACAGACAAACAAATCTTCTTAAAACACTATACCGAATTGTGTGAACAATACATAAACCAGTATGGTGATTACAGTTGTTCATGAAGGTTATTCAATCTTAATTAATCTGAATTTTTAATTTTCAGTCATATTCAATTAAACAACTAACAAAGTATATTATAATGGGTTAATATTAAAAGGAATTCGCCGGATTTGACATTGAAAAGCACATGGTACAGACAGTTTTTCTTTTGAACATTAAACGAGCATAATCTTCGTAACATGTCTTTCCACATCGGGAAACTAATTTTTACCAAATATACTTCTTTTGTTCCTTAAAGTTCTTCCATAACCTTTTTTTAAATATGGTTGATCATTATCTGCCGATGTTAGCAATATTATCTAGCAAAAACAAAGCTAAATGATCCTCATTTACAGATGGTGTTTTTTGGGGCAACTACAAAAGCTTCATTAGAAGGCTCCAGCTGGACATACATCATATTAATTGCAGTTTAAAGTGATGAAAAAATTCTCTCGGTACATACACAATAAATCTATTCTATTTTTGACATACAAATATTCAAATGTCAGAAAACATTTAGATTTTATTGCAATTTTATCATTTTTGGAAGTTTTTACAAGAAATGCATTTTTTTGTTAATATAGTGCAATCAAGATTTAAGTTTGCACATGATTAGAAATCATGGTAATTTGTTTTATAAGGTTTAGATAAATTTTAGGGAATAAAATGCCATACAAGTACCTGAAAATGGCATTTTGTGTAATTATAGCAATCATTTGGAATGCTCAGTTTAGACCTTTGACCTTGATTTAACGAAAATTGCACCGTACGAATTATTGACAACCGGGCAAACATGAAAGTACAGGTAATAAGCTTTCGAATGATATATAATATAGCCGTATGTTAGGTGGGTGCATTACAGTCGTTAACTAAGAGTCTTTTTGAAAATTGTCACTCGCCTATAATTTGTGTCATCAAAAAAGTTGTATATTATCTTAAACTGCTCTTACTTGATTTTGTTTTTTAAAGATTTGATCATGTCTATGTAGAGGTGTCAGGACGATCCCGACCTGCATGCAATATAGCCAACAATGAAGCATACGACTACTGACATTGCTCTTAGCCAGTACATTCTAAATGTAAAAGAGAGGCGAAAGACACCAGATGACATTCAAACTCATAAGTCGAAAATAAACTGACAACGCCATGGATAAAAAAGAAAAAGACCAACAGACAGACAATAGTACACAAAACACAACATAGAAAACCAAAGACTGAGAAATACAAACCCCACTACGAACAGCTACTCTACCCGTCGTGTTGCTCATGTTAGTACAAACCCGGTAACAAGTCTAATTCGGTAGTTCACATTAGAAAAAAAAAGGACGGGCTTGTAATTACGACTTTAGGAAACTATTCACTATCATCTGTGAAACTAACATTCAACTAACTCGTGATGGTGTCTGTAAAACGTACGAAGGGATGATTTCAACTCACCACTTGGAACTTTTGGTTTAATATCTTCCTTGTGAGCAGCAATCCTCTATCAAGGAAATCATGATAGGAAATAAAACCCCCGGAATATCGTATCAACTGCGAGATATATACTTCGTATGAAGCGCTGCTAGAATGTTGCTACATAGAAATGGAAGGTTCACAATTAGGAAGCTGAAATCATCTCTTTTGTCGTAAATGTTGTTTTCAACCGAAAGTGACAGTACTTACCATTAATCGCTAGGAATCTTGAAACACGTTCTCATTATACATACAGCTAATTTACCTACCACAGTTTTAGAATATCATAATGGTTTGATTCGTATATAAATGAAGACAAAAGAAATATTTATCTTTACCTGGTGTCAGTACTTGATCTTTATCACAATCTTTATAATAACAAGAACAATCTTCTTCAGAAGGCACACAGAAACAAGGTTCATTTGGCTCTAATACGAAATTATAACCAAATCTGTAATCACAACGACAAGTTCTATCCGATGTAGTCCGTTTATTAGTGCTTTCAATCTGACCTTTTTCATTGCAAACAGATTTACGAAAAACGCACGTATCTCCATTAGAAGAACTGTATTTGAACGGCTGGTAATGGTTCTCATCACATGGTACACCATCAAAACTTCCTCTTACAACAGTCTTTAAACCTTCAAAAAATATTGATTTGTATGTATATATGAAGACCATAACAATTAAAACATATTGTTAATGAAGGTATTCACAGTTAGTATACGGTCATGTATTATATTTCCACAGACATACACATATTTTGTGGAGATAACAATTAAGTCACAAAAGTTTCCATTGTTCTTATTTTCAGTTCATGTAGTATATTACTATTAAATAAATATGACGAATATATTCAAATAAAATTAATGAAGGGGCCATTGCATTATGCAGTTTTTAAACATTTTTTTTGCCTTAATTATAATTGGACAAATCAAGTTCTAAAATTGACCATTTTGAATTGTTAAAATAAACTAACATTTTTTTATCGAATGTATATAATTCAAAACACAACTTGCATTTTACCATTATATTCTATTGTAAGCCACGTCGGCCATACAGACGACAATCACCAAGTGATGTGTGAACATCACACTGGCTCTTTGTGTCAAGATAGCTCAAATAAGTACGAAACTGCTCGACAGTGCCGATCTAAAATGACTCTCAGTTAAAAAAAGATAGTTCAAAGCCAATAACAACAAATAATAAACAAATCATGATCTCAACGACTAATGCTTATATTGCCCTCGAGTTGACCCCAAAAAATTGGTACCATTCAAACCATGGAGAAGAAATTAGGGTACATATTTTAAATTAAGACTTTTATCAGTTTACTGTTGAGTTCGGAATCACATTTAAATTGAAATAAAAAAAACTGACCTGCAAGGTTAATTAACAAATGGGACGTCCATGAAATTTGACATAACCACACGCTCGACTATGTCAACCAACAAAAAAAGCAAAGAAATGAAACACTTCATAAAGAGAATACTGATTCGATAAAGTGCACTTAAATTAACCGCATTCTATTCGTTAACATTTGATTTTTTCAAAGCATTTACTTTAACGTTACCTTCTTGTTGAATTTCATCTGTTTCGTTGCAATATTCTTTAAATGTTTGTTTATTCATATCACAGAAACACATATACTTTGATGAGTCTTTACAGATCTCCGCTCTTAATTTCATCTGAGAAACATTAGGACACACCAATTCAAAACAGGAACACTGCGAGCACAGTAGGCATAACATCTGAAATGAAATATGTATTGCATATTATTTTTTCATTTGATCGTCAACATTGTTGCATATGCTAGGACGTATGCCACATTTTAGCTTTAATATAACAATACGGCATTGTTGTATCTTCGCCGAATAGATTTTGTTCCAGCACAGTACATTTATACAAGAAAAAAAGGGTCACCGTACAGACGTCAACAATTAGCAAAACCCATACTGCATAGTAAGCTATATTAGACACTGTTTGATATTTTCAAATAAAATTCAAACGAAAAAGACCTTGCAAGCTAATTGTATTATAAAGTTTGTAAATATAATACAAAATTACAATACCAGTATCCATATCCTTTATACTAGATGTAACTATTTTTGTATGTATGTTTGTTTTGTTAATCTACTGTTCGAAATCTAAGTAAGGAGAGGGTGTTTTTTTACATTAGCCTCCGAAGAACCTGAATCGCACACCTGGTAAACATATGCAATGTTGGTATTAATTTTATTTATTTATTTGCAATCAGTTTATTTATTTGCGTAGATCTCGTATTGCTGATAATTTATTCCATTGCACAGTCTTTTCTTTCTTTTATACGAATACTAGAGATAAGTGAAACAATATTGTCATTTACCTACACTATCATTTTTGTAATTATTATTTTACTGAAGATGTTTGCCTATAAAGGTTTCTACCTATTTATTACAAATTTTAAGTTTAAAGATACAAACAAAATACTGAACCTCAAGGTAAATAAATTAAAAATGACAAAATCAAATAGTAGACTTCACCAATTAAAAGAACGAATGGAAAACAACTATCATACTCCTGAGTTGGTACAAGAATTTTCCGAAAAAAAATGTGGGTTCAGCCAGGAATAATAGCTTGCCTAACCAGAAGCACGTAGCAAAAGACATCTTAGGGTTTATGTAACAGGTGATTATAACTAGAATATGTTTAAAATTAAAATAAAAAAGAACAGTTTTCTTAACCTCAAACTTGAATGACAGCTGATTATGGTTCCGTTATAGTCAGTTATGGTTGAGGAACCTAAACTAACATAACATATTGATATAAAAATAATTGGGATCCAGCAGCCAAAACCGTGCAAACATACATCACAGACATAAGACAAAGTGACAAATAAATCTATCAAAGACAATTACAAAAACAATAGTTTCAATGGTTGATGGTATTCTCTTTCTCGATGAGGTAAAAGTTAAATAAAATATAAAGACATGGGTAAACATAATGAAAACAACACTGTCAAACCCTCTGTCTCCTAATTGCACTGGTATGAACCATCTGCAACGGAAACAAACAAAGCCTTACCCCCGCCCCCACCCCCACCTCCCAAACAAAATAAAAACAAAAGCTAGATGCATAAATACCGAGTCACGTCACAGGTATTACGATTAAAAGCAATATAATAGCAAACACAGAAATACAGGGAAGACTGTTAAGTAAATAAAAATATACACAAATTAAGAAACTAGTAACTCTAGATCGAGACAATCTTGTATTATTTGTAAGGTAGAAACTGAATATTAACCTAGTTGATCGTGGTACTTTCCGGTGACTTTTGGAGAAAACGAGACGCTCTTTGACAACACTCTGGGCTATTAATCTTTTTGCACATACACCAATGACGTTCTACAAAGTCTGATTAGCAGCTTTAAGCTCTATGATATCGTATGAGTTGAGAAATGTTTTACCATACGCAAGTGAATTTGGTACATTACTGTTTAGGTAAAGAACATAAATAATTGCAAAATACAAGATCGTCTCATGTGTCATAGATGCTGGTACTGAGATGACTGATGTAGTAAAATTCGAGGTACATGTATAGAAGTAAGACGGAGGAAGTTGCATCTGTGGTTTAATAAATCTCTAGTTTAGGAGGATATATCAACGGGACCCAATCAATGCAATTTGAATTTTTAAAGAAAGGAACATCATCCATATATCTGTATTTGAAATTAAATGATCTAGCTTCTACGATATTTTTGTTTAAAACAAGTTTCTGAAGGAATTCCGACTTATATGAAAATAATAAAAAGTCGCAAGGAGAGATGTACAATTGGTTCCCATAGGAATGCCGACAAGTTCAACAAATATGTTGTCACTGAGAAACACGAGCACACTGATCACTTGTTCCTCGGTTAAGCATGATTGTATATTTTTTAAAATTTTAACAATGAATGCCGAATTATATCTCACAACAATATATTTTTAGCGTATTTTACCATTTGTAATTGCATTGATGAAACCATTGTGGATTAAATCTTTCAGGCGAGTTTTTAATGTTCATGTGGTATGATGGTAGAAAGCGTTTGATAAACCGAAGGTTTGATAGATTCATTTCAGAGAATGACGAAAATTTTAAATTTTCCAGAATTTCTTCTTAGTTCTTGACAATCCACAAAAAGTTAATGTCACTATACGATTAAATAGTGCCACACTATGTCTGCAATCTGTCTTTCGCTGCGAACACAATTGAATTAGCACCAACATCGTCGTCAAGTGCAATAACTCTTTGATATTTTTAACTTTAGTCATTTTATTTAATTTTGTTTTTGCAAATAGGATGTAAGTGGATATTGAGATTCTGATATTTAGTAAATGTATCCCTCTTCGGTCAGATTTTTCCTATCTATTATAGTTTTCAAGATAATACAATTAATAACTGATGATTTTTACCCTTAGTTTCTTTTTGATAGATTCCACACGGGTTCATTGACGACAGAAATCAACTGTATACTGCATGCCATAGAGATCAATCACCCTACGTTTGGATGACATTGATTTAGTAGTTTCAGAGGAGAAGATCTTTGAAAAAGTATACAAAGGACACTAACAATGAAAAACAATGTTTGATTATTTGACATCTAAAGTGGTCATTAAATTGTTCCGATTGTATTCATCAACTTGCTGTTAACAGTATATACATGTATAATGTTGGTATACTAAGCACAATCACACAAATAAGTCAAAATTCGTCATGTACGGTCAGTAACGCTTTTAAGGTCATTCAATGGTTTCCGCCATATCAACAATTTGTAGATCTGGTATGACTAATTTTTTGTTTAATATAGTTTCGAAATATTCTAGACCAAACATTTAAGTAAGTGCTATTTTACCTTACCGCAAAGGTTTTATATATATATGTATTTATATAATTGTATCGATGATATCGATGATCATTGTTTCTATGTTATCATCTTATCAAGAGGATGGTACAAAGAATATTTCAGACGCCATACGCAATTAAAACACTTTGTTTACATGTCATTGAGTAACAATACATATTATGAAAATCAATTTATATATACTGAAAACAATCATTTAAACTGTTAAGTCATACTCGTGAGTTATACTCGTGATAAATATACCTTCATAAAAAAATCAAAAACAAACACGAAATGAAACTTCGGAGACATGACGATAAAATAGATTGACATCAAAAGCTATTTTTGTTATTAGTTTTACATCTAACATAATTGTAGAAATGTTATTCTTATACAACTATGTGATGGAGTATCTACATACTCCATTTTTAATCTTTCTGATTTATTTAAGTCAAGTTAAACATATCTGAAGCATACTTGTGTCTTAAATAGCTTCATTGTTATAATCTGTTCACGTGGGGATTTTTAAGGAAATGTCCTAAATAAGGAGGGAATGACCTGTTGGAATAGTATAAAAAAGCAATAAAATATACCAACGGAGCAATTAATGAAATACAAGATTGATGGGAAAATAGCATCAAAAAAAGTGTATGAAAAATTGAGAATGAAGTCTTGAAACACTTTTATGAAAATATCAATGACATTATACTAGTAGGATAAGTTAAACAAACAGAAAACGCATATTACCACTTCTCCACCAACAAATAGAAATTAGGAAATATATTTGGAGGAGATTATGATTGGTATCTATGGTTATAATGTATGACATGTACATTAACCAAATCAAATACCGACAGGAATATAAGGTCATATTAAAAATCTTTAAATAAAATGAACAAACAAAAAAAATTGTTTAGTTGATATATTTGAGTTGGGGACTTGAATATCAGAGGATCATATGTGAACTTTTATTTTCCTTAATGTTGTCGTAACCTTCGACTATAAGGAAATTGAGAAGTTACTACCACATTTGGTTAGATTTCATCAAAAGCTTATCGATGTTAAAACGAAAACAAGTAACACATCGTTATATATATATATGTGTTTTATAGAAGTTGAATATACATTTTTTGTTTCTACTAAACTAACGTCAAAATATTGATCTTAAATGTGTGTAATACATATAATTGAAAGGAAGCAATAGTCTCATTTTACATTTAAAGAAAAAGTTTTATAACATGATTTATTTTGAACAATCATTTCGATGACGGATATGTTTTTCAATAGTTATCAAACTAAATTTGAATGATTATTTTCCATATTAGACTGAGGAAAAAAATTTATTTTACTTACTCCGAAAGCCCAACTTTTTATCTTTTCTGGATACATTGATTGCTTTTAACCATCACATCATCATGATCATATCAATACACAAATAACATGCTTGTTCAACGGAAATAGTGACGTCTTAATATATTCTAAATATATACATGTTTAAATAGTGTTAATTAGAAATACCTTTTGCTTATAATAGATCATAACAACCACTTACAAATAAACCCTAAGGGCATTAAAGGGCATACGTTACAGTTTTGAATTTTTGACGAAATTGACATGCAAGTTATTTTTAAGCTAGTCAATTCAAATAATGTAATAAAACATTTACCGTCATGTGCTACTTTTAATGATAAATGGGGTAGAAACTATAGACATTTACTGAATATTTGATTCCAGTGGAAAGACATACTTAACTTTCTTGTTTCAAAAGATAAATGCAAGAAAATTTTTGTAAAAAACATCTGGAATATGGTTTCTACATAAGAGTGTTTTGAGTTTTTTTAACAATTCTTTGAACATTTTTTTTTACATGATTTTAGTAAAAAAAAATGGCATTGTTGAATGTATATTTATCACAAAAGGATAATAGGTACGTTGAAATGAGCCCACAGGTAACCTCTATGAATAGTATTATTCTTTGCAGTAATATTATAAGGTTCTAAAAATAAACCAATGTTTTGAATAAAATTAAATGCACCTATTTACGTCGGAGAGCTCGCGTAACTTTACTTAAGTACAATAACGACATGGGCAACTGGATTTTACCATGAATTACAAAAAATTAATAAATTTAATATGGTAGGTATTTGCTTCATACATTTGTGATAGTGACCTATACTTATTTAAGTGAAACTTCACTTGAACAGCGAAATATTTTAAATGACCATAATGGCATTTAATCTTACAGAACAAAACCGAAACTTCAAAAATCTAAAATTATAAGAACAAAAGTTTGGATGATAGACTCATAAGAATAAAACTATATATAGAAATAGTAATTAGAAAATATTTTTTTCACCAATGGCATTCGTTCAATATAGTATATGCTATGAACATGTAGTCGATAATGTTATGATAGTTTGAACACTTTTGTTGGTTCTTACGTGTAATGTGTTTTTCGAACTTTCAATTTGCTTTTATATCCGAGAAAGGTCCGAGTATATTTGCATCCATTCGTTTTTCGTGTATTCTTCTTTTTTTTTTTTTGCATTTACAATGTTTTTTCTATATGATATTTCAAAGTCATCGGAATTAAAATATGTCAACGTAGTTCGATTTTATCAACATGTAATTTAATGTAGACAAAAAGGGACCGCCAGACTTATTAATTGAAATAAAATTAGCAATGAAACTATACTTTTACGTTTTGAAGGCTGATTAGAATTGATGACTAATGTTCATCAGCCAATATTACACGAACATTCGGGACGATAAAAGATCATAATATATATACATTATTTAGTTAAATGAAAAACCAAAGTCAGATTTATCTCCTCATCAATCCAGATGGCGCATAGCTTAATGCGGTCCTTATCAGCTTCCTGTTGATCATCTTAAGCGTTTGTTTACAGTAATTTATATCAAGTCTACACACATATAATAAATTTATTTCATAAACAATTACCCACTATTTGCTGATGTAAACATAATTATCAAGTTATTATGTAACCATTTTTTAAAAATTTTCATCGCAATGTCTAATTATGGATCATGGAGTCTCCCCCAATTAAAAGAAGAATTAAGAAATAGGAAAGCAAGGATTTCTGGACGTAAACATGAATTGATAGAAAGGTGATTATCAGATTGTATCCTTTGATTTTTTTTGATAAACAGAAATATTATCAGATTTAATCCTTGAATTTTTATTTTGTAAATAGAAGTATCTACTCTTTTTATCTAATTAGACATTTATAATTGTTTCATTTCTTTATATTTAAATTTACATTAAATCTTTTGAATACTAAACTCTCATCAAAAATCCGAATCATAAAAATCATCATAAGAGATATATTACGGTAACAAAAACAAAAAAAAAACAATGAAATAAATTAAAAAATTTCTGAACCAAAATGTTAAATGTTTTTGTTAAGGCTTGATGCATACGATAGAAACAAAGATTTTGAAAATTTGGAGGAAGTTGGGGAGTGGTACTCAATGACACTTTCAGATTCTTTCCTTTACAAAGATTTCAACAGTGGAACTGAATTTGTTGACTTTAAAATGGAAACTATAGAAGTGTATTTAAAACCTATGGACAAGGTTATAGCTTCAGATGCAAAAAATTTGTACAAGGAAAAGTTTTTAAAATTTATTCGTCTTGCCAAATATGCTAATACATTCTTTGTTAAAGCTGAATGCCGATCTCAAATGAAAAGGACAGTGTCCTATAGAATAGATGTTGCCATTGATGAAAATGGGAGTATCGATGAGTGTCAATGTGATTGTGCAGTGGGAATGGGACCTAGTGCACATTTCAAGCATGAATGCTGCCTACTTTTATCACTGCATAATGTTTCAAGCAACGGTGAAATTGTATCTGAGGAAACATGCACACAGAGGCTACAGACATTCCACCACAGTAAACCGTATAACGGATCCCCGATAAAAGCAGTCTACCCCTTGCAAATAAAAAAGGGAAGTGAAGTTCAGTTTGATCAACGGCCAGCAAAATAACAGAGATTGTGCTAATTACAATGATTACATTCGAAATGTTTGTTTAAATTATGGAGGTGTTTCAAAATTTTCAATTTCCCAACTGTATCCTCCTGCATATGTTATGCTGTAGTATTAGATCATGACTATTTTGAAGGACATCCAGAAGATAGATGGTTAAAAGATGCTAATATTTCGCACATCTCAAAAGATAACATTAAATATATTGAAACTTCAACAACAGGTCAGTCTAAAAATACGATTTGAAAACAGGAGAGATGCAAACGACTTCAAGCTTCAAATTTCGGACGTATTTGTAAAGCAACAAACAGAACTAACTTCAATAATCTAGCTGATTCATTGACAGTTATGAAGAACATTAAAACTTCTGCTATATTGCATGGGCAAAAATATGAATCAATTGCACTGGCAAAATATGAATATGAATGTGGCCGTTGAACCAGACAGAGTGGTATTTTTGTCAGTTCAAGTCATCCATAGATTGGGGCATCACTAGATGCAGTCATGGATGACCAAACCCTTCTTGAAATTAAATGTCCATTTGTAGTAAGAAACCATGTGATTACAACAAAAACCGTGCCATTCTTAAAGGAGAAAGATGGACATTTAATACTAGATAACAACCATGATTATTTTACCAAATACAGGGACAATTATTCTGTACTAATGCCAAAAATGCATCTTGGTTATATATACATTTTGTGACTTTAAAAGTATTTGTATTGAACGTGATGATTTCTTTATTGACAACATGGTGAAGAAATTAAAAAAATTCTATGAAAATTATTTCAAAAGTGATGTTCTACAAAGGTTTTTTTACAAGGAATATAACAAATACACATTTGATTGATTGATATATATATATGTATGTTATGTATGATACAATAATAATATTTCACTATTTAGTACTTTGTTTATCATGTTTATAAATCCTGAGATTCAAACTGCAATACTGAATAAGGCTTGGAATGGAAATTAAAAAAGTTGGTTAGAATACAAATGTTCTTGAAGTTTACACATTCCAGCTGTTTCTGTGATGATGCAGGTTTTGAAATTACACAACATAAAGCATACAAATGAATCTCACTGGCTAGTTTGATTTCAGTTATATTCAACGGTGCTTTTAGAATTTTATAAGTTTTTGCCAGCCCTATTATTCTTTCAATATGAACCCTTTTGCTTGAAATAGCACGGTCTTTCAAAACTGTTTTGCCAGTCATTCTGTTTTTTTTTCGAAAAAAAGTTGGAATATTAATCGATACATCATATGGTGCAAATAAATCTTGTACATTAAATCCTTTGTCTGCCATTATCGAATCACCTTTATCACATATTGAGGAAAAAATTACTTCTTTCACATATTTGCCTATCACTTATTGAACCACCGTATGCTGGAGAAACATAATTTACCAAACCACCAGGAGTTGCACCAACCAACAGTTTGATAGTATCCCTATTCTTATACGTTGAAAATGTGGACTGCTGAGCTATTGGGGACTTTGGTTTCATCACTGGGCATTCAGTCCCATCAATTATTATTCTAGTTGTTGGAACTTTTGTTTTGTTTTAAAATCACGTGGACTGAAAAATCAAACAATGTCTCGGTCAGGGAATGTTTTTATTTCTCGCCACTCTCTTGACATGAAATTAACCCAGGTGACCCAAATGTTGACAACTGCTGTTTCAGAAACATTAAAAAGACGACTGAGTTCAAAATTAGTTTTGTGTTGCCGAAGTTTAATCCATGTTAAGAAAAACTGGTTTTCTACTGACAGCTGTTCACTTCTATAATATAAATAATTTAGTTCATAAGTAGCATTTCCTAAAGTTGCAAGGACAAATGTAAAACGTCATATGTCTGCAGTCCTGTATAAAACATAATCCCAGACGAGTCAAACATAAACTTTTAATTCCACACAAAGGGATGGCCATGTCAAAGTTTGTGTAATTGAAGAGTCAATAGATGGAACATTTATATTTTCATTTGGTGCAGTCATTTTTACATCTACACATGGTTCGGCTGTGTAATAAATTTCATTTCCGACATTAGCATCATCACATGGAAATTTTGCCTGCATGTCCTCACTTCTTTCAGAACTATCAGAGTCAACAATGCCTTTTGCCTCACATCGTTTGGCCCGTCGTAGTGTTCTGTTATTAGAAGTAGAAGTGCTAATCCATGGAAAGACGTTTGAAGAAGCATCACTTTTCAATCTTTTTACAAGTGCAACAGTACCTGTAAACAACAGTTTCATATTAAACAAATAACAAATTTAAAAAAAAATTAAATATTTTATTTTCAGATAGACATGAATGGATATTTTTGATTTTCTATTCAATTTTATCAAAAAGGGGGAGGGGTCTTGTAATTTAGAAAGAATATTATTCACATATATCATTTTTAATTCCATTCCAAGGAGAATTAAAATCGATTTTTCAAGATTATCATG